CTGGTCAGACAGACAGGATGCCAGGGAAGGGACTGCAGTCAGTCCTTCATGGAGCGTTTTTTTAAACCCATTGAGGACTCTTCGTTCGGAACCACTACCTTCAAGGCGAAGTGCCAAGAATGCAAAAAAGTAATTTTGGGACCAAAAAAAAAAAAAAAAAAACTTTTACTTCAAACCTAAAGCTTCATCTCAGTTGGCATCTCAAAGAAATTTGAAAAAAATGTATTGGATTATCAGTAGATATATTTCTGCCCTCCCTAAAATGTAATCTTGTATTTGCATTGCCAAAGAATTTTTGCCTCTTTTAAGAATGTATTTCCGATACGAATCTCGATACATTTTCACAGATATATTTGAGACTTGAGTATCAGTATCTTAGCAACTATTTTCACCTATCCCAGTATTTGTAATTCCGAATACATTTTTGAAAATTTCTGCCCAACCTTGCAACATAATGCAGCTGTCAAGTGACACTTTTAACGTTTAGGAATTAGAGGAATGGAATGGAATGATTCAGCCATTCCAGGAGTGGGAATGGGCCCAGTGTCCCAATTCCTAGGAGTTGAAAGGAATGGAATTATCGAAAACTCTAATTCCCCGGAATGGAATGGGAGTGGAATGGAGGTGCCCATTCCGCAACACTGCTGCACATGCATACCTCTTGACCTGGTTGAAAACGAACCCACCGTCAGAGGCGGCGCTGTTATGCTTGTCTAATGTGTGGCGTTTGGATGCTCCAACTCCCAACACTGATTGTGCAGGTAGTCCCACATTTTCAAGTTGGGGTTTAATGTTAACATCTCCACCCAACCCACCCTAGTGAACGCGAAGAGCATGCTGTGCTGCCCGATCAGTGCCGTGCAATGCAGTCCACCGAACACGAGACAATATTGGTAAGGCCCCCATGTATACAACTTACAAACAATGCCCAACCTACACTAAAGACTCGCACAAAGAGAGTGCAGCCTCTAGGCAAGGGCATCTTAATGGCCTTCTATTAATGGGGACGCCATTTTACAGCGAAACCGTATATGGCTAGGGTGCTATGGATTTTTCTTGTGTGTCGACAAAAACTCGCAGCACCCTCTCTTTGTCGTCTTTCCAAGCTCTTGCGTGCTTATAGTTTCCTCCCACTCTCCCAAGGTGGCAGTACTGTCACGCGTTTACTTTACGCCGGGTGGCGGTCCTGTCGCGCATGTATAGTTTCCTCCGGCCTCCTCGGGGCGGCGATAGCTGTTTACGCAAATGTATAAAGAAAACCAGGAAGACAAGTTGCCATTCTCCATTTTCAATTTTACTTCTCTCTTCATAATGGAGAGGCTGCGTACAGTCCGGACTCTCGAAGAGCAACGGCGGAAACGGTAATGAGAATGTCAATGGCAACGGTGAGCGGCGAACACCATTGATGAAGATTCTGTATGTGTTTCATGCCTTTGTTCAAAATTCTGTGTCCCGTCTGTGTCGTGTACTAAACAGCTTGGCTGTTTAGCACACGACACAGAATCTACCTTCACAGGGTGGAATGGCTCACGATTTTTTATAGTACATGGTGCCGACGGCACAAGCACACGGAGAAAATACAAAGAAATAACTAGAAATAAAATGCCTCCATAGTACCGTCAATGCCAAGAGCTCGTGCTAGATGCTTTTTCACGCGTCCGGAGCAAAAAAAAAAAAACGGCACACAAAGGCAACAAGCGCTCGCCGCTACCAAATAGATTTGTTTTCAAACTGTTCTCGGGCACAGCAGAAGAGAGCGCTACTTTCGTCGCAACCCTCAAGCATCTAACTTTTTTGTGGTTTCCACGTCTCTTGGGGTTCGGGCAAGCTAGCGGGCATGGAGAGAGTAACTAAATATCAGTGCATCATATTTAAACCGGACAGCGCGGAAACCTCCTCCACCTGCGGGGGCGACACGCGGTGCCAAAAACGCGCGAAGTTTGACGTCTTTGGTCCTGGGCTCACTACTGGTCAGAGCCACTAAAAGCTTCTTTTTAGTCGAAATACAAGATATAAGTGGCACGAGCCGTTTCAATTATTTATAAAAGTAGTTTTTGTTCAGTGTTTTAGATCAGAAAAGAAACATGCAGTTTATAAAGTACGGAAACAAGAAATGATCCATCAACACACCCGCCACCAAGCGGTGGAAAAGGCGGCGAGCGTAGAACAATCCCGGATGTACACGGCGGTGCTGCAGTCGAGGACTCGACCTGTTCCGAAGGCCTTCGGCGAGTAGCTTTGGCTTGCAGTTTGGCCCTATGGCAGTACGGCAGAGCAAAGTAGCTCCCGTTCTGAACTGATCTTTACCCCGTGTTTGCTGTAGTTTGTGGCAGATCAAGTGTCATGCTGAATTAGTGTTTAATCGCGCAGCAAATGCAATGCAACCCCACCCTGGCTGCCGGCTTCATACAGCCTATCCAAAATATGCTTTAAGTGCGCCCTCTCAAGTTGCCGACACAGAGTGCGGCAGCCGCGAGCGCTCGCCGAGCTGAATACCCCTCCTCTAGTTCACAGCCACTCAAGCAACCAAGGACATGAAGGAGGTTATTTTTTGCTTGTTTTTGTAATTTTAATTTGCCTATAACTTTTAAAATAAAGCGAAATTCGAGGAAAGAAAAGTTTCACTAAGTTACTACGTTCAGTGCACTCGGGTTCGGTGCAAATTAAAGACCAGTAAAAAAAAGTCCTTGCAGAGGGACTTTTTTTTAAATCAGTTCCCTGTTTGGTCGATTACCTTCAATTACGGAACAAGCGACCCCTCAAAACTATTGACATGGAAGGATGCTCTGTATTTTACGGTATATAGGTATATACGACAGAAAAAAGAGAGGAAACGTAAAAAGGGCGACTGGACACAATGCTCAGTCTACGTTTCAGCCCGCCAAATTATCTTGAAGCAGTAAAAGTCGCTGCTCAGTTGCATCCTTGCACAGCCATTTGCAGCAGTATGATCATTCCAGCAGAAGTCGCAGCAGAAATTGAACAGGTTGTCGGCGCACTTGTTCCATTCAAACTTCTGTGTAGCTCCGCCGTATTTGCTTTTTCTCACCAGAGTTGAAACACAGTGGCACCAGTGTGGAAATGGACCCCAACACTTTCGGTTCTGAGCCCCTGTAAAATACCGAGCATTCGCCCATTCCACAATAAGTGCCCATCTCAATTTTGTAGCATTCTGAAAGTACACAAAGGAGATACCTTTACATATTGTTGACCTAAGGAGCATCCATCCCCCAGTTTTACGTGATTATCTCCAATTGGCCATCTATCAAATTGGAAATGGCCATTTATCAAATAAAATCTTCATTTCCAGAAAATTGGAGGGATTGCCGGACAAAAAGCTGTTAAAAAACCGCTTGACTGGGTTTGGGATCCTTTTGGGATAGCCCTGTTCTACATAATTTACCCTCATGATGGAAGAATAATGACTAAAATTTTGTGAACATACACAGACCAATGGTGTGCCACACCTGCCAGTTCCATGCCAAGCGAAAAAGGGCCAATAAAATAATGCATGCTGCTTGTAGTTTTACTACATGTATTTATCAACAAAAGTCTGCTGCAAATTTTCTGTCACAGATTCCATGTCTTCTAGTCATATTTCTGCGCATGGACAAAAAATTATTTACTAAAGCTGCTATCGGGGAAAAAAAAAGAAAACGGGCATAGGACTGAAATACTTGGGTGTTCCCGGTAAATCTGGAGATCCAAGGTTTCTTTCCATGAAGCTGGCATTTTCCTTATTGTATGACAACTCCATGTCGGGCTATTCCCATTTTACCCCAAATTTCTGGAATGTACTGAAAGACCTGGAACCCCATTACAAGTTGCTTCAATTGTTTTACTCGAGACTGAAGTTAGCTAAAGATAACTTCAGCCTCAAAAGGGGCCTCGTCAAGCTACACCTGCAGCTTTTGGCCCCAGCCTCCATCTTTCTCGAGAAAATTAATTTACAAGATTGATTGACCAACGAGCAACCTTGACAGTTTGTATGGTCTATCTTCCACAGAGTAGTTGCCAGGCTTTCTGTCGTGATCATTATGGGCCTTCCACTTTTGTAGACAGAGTCCATGGACTCCAAGCGGCAATGCAACAACCTTACATTAGAAAAAAATTAGGACTTCTTAATTTTTACATTATCTTGCCAAAAGGGATAAAGACACCGCCTCAATCCCTTCAAATATTGCGATTCTGTAGCACAGTAGCAAAGAGTAATTTTTTGAGACTTGCAGCTGTGAGTGGCGGCCATGGGAACAAAGGCAGGATGCCAACCTGGGTGCATTGTAATAAGTTGGCAATTAAGATGTGCCATGATGTGCTGAATCCAAGGCCATCCTTTATAAATATTGTTGTTTCAACACTAGTAAATGCATCAAAAGCCTCGTATCGTCGACAAAATTGTACTATATTCAATTTTAATGGCACTATCTGCCTGAGGGGAAAACCATTCCTCTCCCTAGAGCCTCGGCCCGTCGCTACTATGTCAGTCCAGCTTCCTTACGGCAAGGCAGGAGTCCCCTTCCATATGCTCAGTGCTCTTGTGCTACTTTCCGTTTCCATATTCTCTTATAACTGCAGCCAGCCTGCATTGCAACACCTGCCCTGTTCGTCATACTAATAGGTCTCCCAGAGACTACAGCACAAGCCGCACGTTTCCGTTGGACACCAATCCCTCCAGAAATTTGGTTATAACCGAAAGAGTATAGTCCCGCCAAAGATGCAATAACCGTACAATTGCAAGTCTGCTAAGCACGTCCTCGGAAAAGATTAATACAGAAAGCTTCCAGGCGCAGACTGTGCATAGCAGACTACGGCGGAACACTCTGCCAACTTTAGGAAATCTCTAAACTCTGACCCGAGAACAGCTCGGGTGCTTCGTTTAAATCAAGTATCAAGTTTAAATCGTAAATTTTGCCAAGTTTTTGAAAAAAACATGTCTCTCTGGAGGAAGCTGCTGATTTCCAGGGGGCACACACCGCCGAAGAACTTCTTGCGACAAACAGTTATGAGAAATGCCGTTTTATTAGTGCAGCCAAGCGGACGTTGCGGACCTCAGGGCTTCTTGCTGAGCCTGCTGCCGAAGCTGGCCATGTCACCGTTGAGGGGCCACGAGATGAACTTGTCCGACTTGAGGTAGGCCGCCACGTGGGGCAGCGCCTGCGCGGGGCACAAGCCGGCCTCAGCAATGCATTCTCATGCGCCGCCGTTCAACGCAGCCGCGATAATGTGGCCAGCTCGTGCTACATTACAGTCGGCACGAGCCTCTCCCAAAAGAGGGTGGCATCCCGACATCGTTACAACACCGAGTTTGCTGCTCTGTGGTCCCCGGCAGGGTGAAAAAGCCATCTCTTTGATGCCTCGTCAAAGGTAGCAAGCTCGCCCTGGGTGTGGGACGGCGTCCAGAACGAGCTGTCGGGAACAATGCGGCCCATTGGCTCCAATTGGAAAGATAGAGTGTAGATTTCGAGGCAGCTAGCACCAAGGTCTACCCTCTAGTTTTCTGGTCGGAGCCGATCGAAGCTTGGCGTTTCGACGTCGCCGCAGCCCCTGTGCAAGAAGCGGACAAACCTGCGCTCCGCATAGCTTCCTGAAATCCGACCGCAATTACGCGTCGCCGAAAGATAATCCCGCTTTTGTCAGTTGCGGGAGCTAGGCTTTCTCGATGGCGTTTGATTTGTTGTACGCAAGTCGCTCGTTGCAAAGGAGAGCAGCGAGGAGTGGGGTAACTATAGTCTGTTGCAACTCAAGAAGGTACGGCAAGGAAAAGGAAGGCCGGGCAGGAGGAAACAGACTGAATGCTGGAGAAGACGGGGGGAAACCTCTCTAGCATTCCATCTGCTTACCCCTCCCCAAACTTCCTTTCCCTTGCCCTACCTTCTTGAGTTGCAACAGACTTATAGCATCTGCAGACAAGTTAATGCCCCAACCCTGCTCCACAGGAACGTTTATTGTCGGCTAATAGGTTAATAACTGAACATTTTTTACTGGCTCCTTTAGTGCTGCGAGCTCCAGCTGCCATCAGAAAAAAACTGGGACGTGGGCCACTTTCGAGCCCAGGTAGACTGGGATTGGCCGACACTCACTGACACTGTCAAAATTTGTTGCAAAGTAAATTTCACCAATTTTAGAAGTGCGCGAATTGTTGCCAACCCAAAAGTAAAAAACCCATAAAGCAGTGGTTTTCAAATGGGGGTCTGTGGACCCTTTGGGGTCCCTGAAGGCCTTTTTAGGGTTCCCGAAGCCCTCAACTGTTGGTCAAACCAAACAATACAACAATTTCTTTTTTTTTTGGGTCATTGAGCGATTAAGGTTGATTTCTTTTTTTCGAGTTTTAAAGTTTGTCCAAAGCTAACTTGTCATTGCAATAGTCTAATACCCCTATGTGGATGGGTCCCCCATAACTGATGCCAATCCACAAGAGGCTAAGGGAATCCTGGAAAACTGCTAAACGCCACTATTTAAGGCACAGGGTAAGAATGACACCTATTCGGTTCTATAATTAGTCAAAAATGGCACATTAAATAAAAGAACCCTTAATAAGGAGCTCTCCTGTTTGACTTTGAGTGCGATGCACAGAATGGTGTTCACTGCATGATTATTCTTTTATCAGATGCTACCAGACATGTTGTCTAGCCATACTTGCCAACATACATATTTACAATCCCCATCTTTTGTGCAATACATGGCAGCAGTTGCAAGCTTCAGTAACCGAATTCACACACTTTACAAAGTAGTAAAGGTATCAGACTCGTCCGACTTTGCTTGGAACTTCCAGTAACTGTCAAAGCTTAGAAGCAAGTTTGTCCGCTTCTTTTACAAGGGTTGTGGTGACAACAATTTAGACATATGAACTGTGGAGAGTAGACCATATGTCTAAATTTCGAGACTGCTGCCTGCTCTGTGTTCCACGGTAGGCTCCAGGGGTCGCACGAGGCACTGCGAGGCATGCAGGCCCTCACCTCGATACGGTCCACGAAGGCCTTCAGGTTGGCATGCTCCTTCAGGCAGTCTGGGGCAAACAGCAGGTGCTGGGATAGCATCTCGTAGGCAATGAAGTCCACATAGGTCAGCTGCGCAGGAAAGAAGGCCGAAATGTCACTCAGTGATGCGATTGGTCCAATTTTGGAGCACCCTTTGGAGCAGCCAAAAGTCTATTCTGAAGCACAAGCTCGCAGTTCATAAACATTCGTACTACTGCAAATATTATGTTAAGATTTAGGTGTTAAGCTGTCCAACTGAAAGGCAATTATTTATATGAAACCATTTGTTAGCATCGACTGCACAGAAAGAGTGATTCCCTCAAACACAGAACTACCTGTTTAGTTGCATATAGAGGCACCAGACACGGTAACAAGATGATGAATGAAGGACAGCACAAACTTCTTTGAACGTTTATTTTAGGTACGAACACCCACTGAAATGATGTTAGAACACAATAATTTTAAGCAACTTAATTTATCTATCGCTCAAGTTCTAGAGGCAGTAATAAAACTGCAATTCTTAATTCAGATAAAAAAAAACAAAAAAACCTTGTAGTTGGGCTAGTTTATGAACGTCTAAAGGATGGTTATAAGGTACAAAGAACGACGGACACAAGGAAAACGACACACATGTGGCACCAGTGCGTGTGTTGTCTTCTTTGTGTTAGTTGTTTTTTGAGTGTTTTGCACCTTACACCTTGCTTCATAAGAAACAAAGGTTTTGTTATGTGATTATGAACGTCAATTTTATTTTATAAGCAGAATACAACGATCACCTCAGACGTCAGCAAAACGCGTGTTCTGGTAGCAGACTATCCGTTTCAAATTGGTTTCAAATTTCGCACATTTCACGAAAGAGCTGACGGAAGGTAAAGTAAAAAAGACTAAGATAAAGCAGGAATGCAGAGACGTCAGCAAGACGTGCCTCTCGATGGTGGACTACTTGTGCGTTGTGGAAGAACACTGGCTCGCAGTAAAGAAGCTGCCAGAGAAGCTTCTGGCATATTCTTAACCTGACTACAGGAGCCTTAGTCTGACATTGTCTTTAGACCAACATTTGCTTTAGGTCACTGTGATTTAGCTCTTTTGGGACACATACTTTATTCGTGCGACTGGTTGCGTTATGGCTGTGTTTCAATGTGGCAGAGAAGAAATACTCTCGAGCCTTTATTCCTAGTTATTCGACGGATTTTTTAAGGTCTCCAGAAACCCCGTAAGGGTGAACGGTACGCTTCCTGCAGCTTCTGTCAGTGCAATGCGAACATCTTGCATAGGTAGTCAACAGGACATTTTGTTACATCTCTGTACCACGAATAACGAAAATGTGTTGGAAGTGGTCTACAGCAGAGGAAAGTTGGACAACTTCCAGCTGAATAACTACGCAGATGCGGATGAATCGGCAGTGGCCTACGACGCCAGCCTTCGAGACTAACGGTATTTTAGAGTGCGACGAGCTTTCCCAAGTAATGGTGGGGGTTCAGACACTCCCGCATAGCAATGCAGAGTTCAAAAAAGTCTTCAGTAAAGTGAAGGAGGATCACACCTATTTCCTCTTCATCAAAAAAAAAAACAGTTGAACCGTTGGTACCGAAGGGCAGCCAGTCTGGGAATTGCCTCGAGCAAGTATTTGGGAAGGACGACAAGGTGCATTGGCCCAACTTTCTTAAGAAAAGCATTTTCAAGGTATGTTCCACCATGCTTTGATACCCAAGTTCAAACGATCATGTTTTGTGTCGAATAAGGTCGAATAATGAGAGTATGTTTTATCCGGTTTTCCCGTTTTTTAGGCACCCCCTTATAGCATTTGGCACTGTGGGTGGATTGGTCTGCTCAGAGCGTAGCTTATTTTGTAGTTCTAGCTTCGGTCTTGCCCAAAAGGCCCATGGACCATTACGGAAGAGCAACAGTGACGCGGGACTCACGTTTTCACCGGCGAAGTACTTGTGGCTGCCCAAGAAGTCCGAGAAGGCCTTGAGGGAGGCGGGCAGGCCCTTGAGGTAATCCCCCTTCAGCTTGTCCTGCAGAGAAGAGCCCCAGGTGGGACCGGCCCCGCCGGTAGGTACCTACGAGTACTCACAAAGTCTGGGTTGTAGCAGAGGCGGACCCAGTTCATGCGGAAGTCGGCAAACTGCTGCTCCGCCATGTCCACCCGCAGCTTCTCGGCGTCGCTCTTGCCCTCTGCAAGCACAAGGAAAGCCGCCTTAGAGCAATTTTCTAAAGCCACGTATGATCCCTTTCCGGGTCTTTCTGGCTCTTGCTGGTTTTACCGCACGACGTCATTAGGTCATCCGACATCGAATTCCCCACTACAATTAGCGGCAAAATCGTTGCAGCGTCACGCGGCACCTTGTCACGTTGCATCGTGAAGTTGTGTCACATGACAAAGTGATGTCACACCACGTGACGTTACTGCGATATCATCAAGCACTACAATGTCAGTGACATGCAACATCGCTGCATTCCCGTGACATCGCAGCTTCCATCTATAATCGCCATGTCAGTCTCGCACAACATCGATTTCACGTCACCCGACGTCAGTGTCATGCGATGTTATGGAGTTACGGGAGGTCAGTGTCACGTGACACTGAAAAAGAGTGCGAGAGCTTCTCGAAACTCTGCTCACGGCCTATAAAGGAGCCAAACAAGCAAGCAGTCATCTGGGCTACTCCATTTCGGCATAACTTGGCAAGCAGCAGAGGCTACGGCCACGACATAACAATCCGAGCAACAGAGAGCACTTCTCTTTTACAGAGCAGCTATGCACTTCACTCAGACTCCCAGCCTTTCCCAAGTTACGCTTAACAGAGCACACCCCTTTCACTCGGGGTACTGACTCTGAGCGCGCCCCACGAAGGGGAAGCCCCACTCCGTAGGGCACGCTCCAAATCAACCATCGAAAAATGCTTTCGCATTCTTGGATGGTGGATTTGAGGCGCGCTTTTGGTGGACCCTAAATCCACCAGCCGAATTCGCAACGAGATCATGTAATGTTCGGAAATTGGCACCTTATCCCAAAGACAGCGCCACGTTCGGTAGAGGTCCAGCTTTCGGTGACTAATGCCAGAGTCCCATTAGAGCAACAAAACAGAAACGAACGACGGCGACAAACCTCAAACCAGAGCCTTTCACAATTTGACAGGCTTTGTAGAATAAAGCAAGTTATGCTCAAACACGAGCATCACGCACGCGAGTGTGCATTTGGCAGGCTTGCAGTCATTTGTGCTTACCTCAGGAGCACCAAATGACTAAACGCCCGCCAAAGGTGCCATCGCGAGCATGCTGCACGTATTGGAGGCTTGTCCGTGCCGGTTGTTTTTGTTTGTCCCTCTAGTGGAACTCTGGCATAATAGTTCACCGTTACAGGACAAACGACCGCTTGCCTTTCGCAGCAAGAAGTTCCGAAAGTCGCAACTGCTGCCGATACTTCCGACATGGAGTAGACGGCCGCGCATCAACTCGCGAGGCAAGTCGCCTGCCTGGCGCAGTTTAAACGACAGACCGGCACGGGGACCAGCCGCGTCTTACCGAGGCCGTGCTTCCTGGCGAGATAGCGCAGGATGGCCATGCTCTGGGTGATCTTCACGTCCCCGTCCAGGTAGTAGGGCAGCTGCAGGGAAAAGCCCACCTCAGACCTCCCAACGTGTCTATATTGCCGCAAAGCTTTCTGCCACCGTCGGGGGCATAGAGAAGCACACACGCCGGTGCAGACATCCCCAGGGACGTCGGCACCGGGCTCGGGTGGGAACGCAGCCAAGCGAGACTTAAAAGCGAGATTAAGCAAGTTTGACAGCGCACTAATGTGTAGCGACTTGGTGCATAAATAAAGGTCCCAAGTCTCTTCCTGCTATGCCGGCGATACAGAGGCATTTGGGTAGGTTTTCGAAGCGACGAGGCATCAAATCCACAGCTGTAGATTCTGTGGCACTTGCACATCTTGTCAAGAAAAGATGGCATTGGATGGCTTATCATGAAACCTCTTCTAGAATCTCCATTGTTCGACACCACCTCATTTTCCAACGAGTTTTGAACGGCTCAAAAGGAATCTCAAAGCAAATGAACCGGTACGGGAAGACACTCCGCTGAGACCATAGAGCGCATTTAAGAATACAGAGAGGCTAGACCGGAGCTCACAACTAAAAAAAAGGCGCGAGCCAAACCAAGTTTTTAACTTTGAACCTGGCAGGCCGCCGCATAACGAAAAATGCTGTAGCTTCCTGTTGTCAACGGTCTGCCAACGCCCAGAATCATTGGGGCTCGTATATTTGCCATCTTAATGCATCATGGAAGATCTTATCTACCGAACAATATACGATAATATAACATTTTAAAACAAGTGTGAAAGAATGGCATAAGCACTCGAGAGTGAAGTGTTTTACTATTCAAATTGATGGGGAGAAATTTTGTATCTTAAAGTCGACTAATCCGTGGGACTTTGGCCTATCTAACTTACTTCATAATCAGATTGGTCTGGCTTTTGCGACGCTTTAACCTTCTGCTCGCCGTATAAGAAAAAGCGAAGGATCACTCTCGTCAATGGCTCGGCGCAGTCTTTTCCATTTTGTGGGCTAGGGCGAGTCCCCCGCTACAACGACGTATTTCTCCATAGTTCCAAGCACGCGCGTTCCGGAACAGCCGGACAACTCTAAAAATGTTTGTCAATTCGAAACGAAGAATTCACAAACATTTGATGTTCGGGTCAGCTTGAGTGAAAACTTGAGCTTACCTCTTTAGTGCAAGACCACACTTCCAACACGTTTGTGTGCGTCTATGATGGAAACACACCAAAGCCAGTTTCTCGCTATTTGTAATAAATGTCTGTGAACCACTTTACAGTGAACGACAAAATAAGTGCACATCACCCTTAATCAATTTAGCTAAGGTCTTTTAGCAAAATTGGGTTTGCCTACTTCTGGAGTCCGGTGGCCCAATTTTAAGTGGCACCGTGAGCCGCAGAAGATTACCCCAATCCAAGGGTAAAGTTGGTATACACGAAACGTGTTTCCGTGGCAGTCTTCGCAGTTATTTTTAACTTTTGGTTATGCGGATAGAAACTGCGAGAGAGGAAGAGACACGTGGGGATGTCGAAGCACCGACCTGAGGTCGGAGTGATCGGTGGTTGGATGCAAAGCTGCCTTTGCCTCTACTCACTGTTACAATGCGAACACTAGCGTTCAAATTCACTCAAACGGCGAGTAGAGTCGGAAGTGCGTTAAGAATTTTGTTCTTCTCGATTATCTACTGTTTCTTCTCAATTACGCGTTCTTATGTACAGATGGTGCACCAAAGCACAATATTTTGCGGCGGATTCCACGGCGTCCCACTTCCCTCGGAGATCCCGGCCCCCCAATACGTTCCGCGTAAAAACCGGGTGCGGACCGCTCGTCGCGCAGCCCTGAGCTAGACTAGAGACGTCGCTTCTACGGGGACCGGCTCGGGAGGGTGCTCTGCGTACGTTTGGGAACTCGAGACCCAGGTTGGGCTTGTCCTTGAGCCAGGCACTGCGGTCAAAGTCTGGCGGCGGCCCGCACGAGTAGCGCTTGTCCTCCACCTTCACGTCCATGTGGGCCAGCAGGAGACGGATGGGCTGCGCCAGCTGCGACCAAAGACAGTGGCACTCTCGGTCACCCAGACTCCTCCGCGGGGACGGACAAAGTACCCACTGGCACCGCCTGGGACGTGTCCTCGATTGGCATGTTCGGTGCCCGTGCATCCAAAGTGGTCCTGGCGACAGATTACTTCGCGAAAGCCGGTGTGTCATGAGTGCGTCACATGACATGCCTTTGAGCGTGTCATGTGACACGCTCAAAAGTAACTTCGTTAATATATTCCTCGTGTTCTCAGGGATTTTATGGCAAGCTAGTATAGTCGTAGATAAATCATTTAATTAGATAATAAATGAGCGAATATTGCCAGGTGCTTCTTTTTTGTTTTCCTCTAATATTATAATAAAGTATTATAAAAAAGAAGTGGACGAGGGCTTTTCCGAAAATTCTGTTTAATAAAAATGTTTTTATTTAATATTGTTCAATTTCATTTATTTTAACAAAAATAAATATATAAAAATACCACGAAACTATTTTTAAAAATACTCCTGAAAACTAAACTTTAGAAAAAGCTCCCGTTGAGTTCTTCATTATAACACTGAGTATGCGACAAAATTATCACCGACCTAACAGTAATACTGGGAAAAAATTTACAAGCATGTGGCAATATTTACTCTTTAAAGGGCCCATGAAACGATTTTTGGGTTGGGATAAATTATTTTAGATTGGGATTTTACTAATAGCACATTGTTCAGTGGACCAAAAGAAAAAAGGTAGAAAGTCAAAAGCCTGACTTTCAGTGCGAAAATTTGAAAACAGAGCGGACTATTTCGTACCTCCTCCCCTTCGCGACCTCCCTGCCTTTTCACTGTGATACATCCGCGGTCCCAAAAGCGCGCCATCGGGTCCAAACTGACGTCACACGCAACCGGACCTCACTTATTCCCTTCACCCCTAAGCTGACATTGTGGTGGAAGCTACGCGCTTGCCGGACCAATCAGCCGCCTCCCTTTCATCACCTGACTTCATTCTCTGCAGCAACATTTGCCACGCTCACGTGGCAAGGGTGGCTGGCCCAACGAGCACGTAGCTTCAACAGCACTGTCAGCTTCGGAATGAACGGGGTGGGGAAAGCAACTTTTGTCTGAATTTTGAGCAACGGGCTAATCTTCTAGGGGGAGAATGGATGTGTCCGGGATTACACAAACGAGAGTGCGAGAAAGAGGGGTCTCCCCTTTTTCGTCTTGTTTAACTCTTTTGGTGGAATGCGCGATTTATGAGTTGAGGAGGAAAGCTAAACAGGAAAAAGTTGGAAAAGCGTTTCATGACCCCTTTAATTATCTAACCAACCAATTAGCCTACAACTTGAATAGTGTGCCCTGGAACCCTCAAGAATACAGGGAATAGGGTAAAAAAACCTATTTTTGAGTTTGCATTTCTACGATTATCTTAATAAATTACAAACCACTTTGCTGGCATTCACAACTGTCGTCATGAGACCTGAGCCTTGACCCAGCACGTACTAGCCTATGTTCACTTCTTACAGATACTGAGCCTTGATCCAGCGCATACTATATGTTTACTTCATAACAGATAGCATGATACTTTACTTAAAATTGGCAACTTGCACAGCGTGAAAAGAAACATACACTTTGGCCTCCAGATGCTCTTTGTTCCTTTCAGTTTCAATTCTTGGCCGTCTGACGTGCCCATTCAGTAGTTCTTCACTCCTCGATACCGCTGAAAATATTCAGGAAGCTAAACAGCACACAAAAAAGAGGAAAAGGAAAGATCATCTGGAGGTTTCTAAGCTACCGGAAACGGTAAGGCCGTTCGTCAATTTCGAATAAAGGTTTCTATATTTCTTGACCAGCTAAAGTGGACCTCAACACTTGCAGATGTCAAACATTTTCCTGGGATAGCAGGGCTCTCTCTAGGTGAGAAACAACACAATAACCTAGCGATTATTGTAATTTACGCTAGAGGTTCAACCGGCGCAAGTGTATGCGAATTTTGGGATGCAGAACGAAGCAGACAGCAACCGGTCTACTTTTGCAGTGCTCCTATGCGTTCCTATGGGAAGAAGCGTCTGCACTTTGTCCCTTCATAGGAGAATAACAGGAATCACCTTTGTTACTTGTAATTGCAAAAAGAAACTACCGTAAAATACCGAACATGCGCTCCCCCTCGTGCAAGTGCCCTCTCCAATTTTACGAAATTTAACATTTTTGTGGTCATCTTCAATGTTATTCCCAAAACCAAGGGCCCCCTCCCTCCCCACTTTGATTGGATAATCTCTAAAATTTGGAGGGGGTACTTGTATGGTATTTTACGGTATGTGTTGCCAAAGACTCATTCTTTGCCCAGATGTAGCATTAGAGGTCTGAACGAGATGCCTAAGTTTCAGCAAGAACGAATATCTTCTTAAGAAGTTATAAGCGATTCTCTGAAAATTTTGACGGGGAAATGGAGCCCGTTTTCGGTTTCCGGCACCATAGAGCGCAATGTATTCGAGAGCTAAGTCTGCCGCCATTTTCCCATTGAAATTTTCATAAAATCACCTATAGCTTTGAGTAAGGTTTCGGTTAGCGCTGAAACTTTGCCATCTGGTTTGAACCTCTAGTGCTACACTTGGGTGGAGAATGAGCGCTCGTTTTGCGGTGAAGAAAACCACGTAAATGTTTTGGGGGGACACCCCGAACTTCCTACAGGGTCTTCCGCCTGTAGGCATGTTTCCGGCCACCAATTCACCACTCGGACAAAGTATCCACCGGGAAACAACGTGGGCGGCTTTAGAGTACCGTCTGAGGAGGGGGAGGCAAAGGTTAGGCGATAAGGTGCATAAGCTACAGGGCCAACCCCTGCCTGCCTCCTGGTCGGAGATTACGTTACCTCGCTGCAGACGCTATCAGTCGGGAGACGTCCAGAGTGAGCCTACAGATAAGACCAAGTGATGGCGTGTAGAGCCAGCCTTTCGGCAATGGTACTGCTCGTACCGACCACTCCAAATAACCGGTCATATTCGTAAGTTTGCGGCAACAGACCGAGGTGTTCGGCGCATGCGTGACACGGCCGCACGTTCAGTGGACGAGCGCACATGAGTAACATCACAGTCCACGCGCGTGATCATCGCTTCGGACAGAGATGCGACTGGAGGCTACAAGCACGAGGTAGCCCTCGCTCCTGGCTTTAAAAAATGCACTTCTATATCGGAAAAAAAAAAAAAAAAAAAAAAAGACTTGAGAACTCGGGAGAACGTTTTAAAGCAGCGATCTCGTGCCGTCTTCTACGCACACTTGTACGGCAATGGCTCGACCGTGCCTCAAGTAGGAGGGTGCCTAGCCAGAAGACGGCAACCACGCCGTGGCGGCCGCGGGGCTCACGAGTCATCCGGCGTGGCGGCGTGGCCGTGGCCGCCAAGAGAGCGGCGGCGGCGGCCTGCCCGACCGAAGCCGGCTTCCCATCCGGCATTTGAGTGTGCTGCCCGCACTACCCGCACCGGAGCATGTGCACGTCCGGCACTAAGCTGCGGCCGGGGAAGCGAGAGGCGAACTCGGTAATAAACGACAGCTGCGAAATACCCACAGCAAAGGCAACCCGTACCGCGCCCAACAAAAAAAAAAAAAGAAACTACAAAAAAAGAAAAAAAATTTTGTTAACAACCGGCTTTGCGCTTGCGAGCGCCCAAAAACTATCGCCGGTGTAAGTAATCGTTCAAAACAAAAGCAGTTTATGGCACGCCCAAGTTTGCGACCAACTGGAACGGGCTGAAGGTATCCTCGACGTTTGGACAACTTTCTTCGGGCAGAAGTGGGCAAACTTCTTTCGCCGACAAAGACAAATATGGCGGCCGTCGCGCCTCGCCCGCCGGTTGCCCGGACGGCCGGCGCCGGACGTGAAGAAGCGCTTCGGCGACGAGTGAAGAATACTCGTAAGACTTACCCCTCGAATGTCCCAGTATCCAAGCACGGGAGCCATGGCGGGTTTCGAACGAGCGGAGTGAAGACTGCGGGCTGCTAGCGACCGTGGTCCAACAGTTGCTCCAAATGAATGGTTGTTCGAGCCCTTCGAGCCTTCAAGCGAGAAGTGCGAGAAGCGCCAACGAAGCGCGCCGGGGATTGGGAGAGAGCGCGAGGATAGACAGAGAGAGGGAGTGGGGAATCAAGAGAGGGGAAGAGCGCAAAACGGCGGCGGCGCCGGCAGCTGTGGACGCTGTCGTGTCAAACAAGCAACGAGGCCATTCTCGAGCGATTGGAGGTATTGCGAAAAAGGCGATGAGCGAACACAAGTGACTCGGACAAATGCTCTCCCATTATTCGGCTGACCCGAGCGAAAAATAGAATGAATACGGTTTAAGAAAAGGGAAAAAAAGTACGACGATGCTGCTCGAGGATTTCACTGATATTGCGAATGAAGCTCCCGAGTCCGCTGCAACTCGAGAAGGTGGGGCGAGGGAAAAGAAGGCCGGGGAGGGAAAGCAGACGGAACGCTGGAGAGAGGAGGAGGTTTCCCCCCTCCTCCCCAGCCTTCCTTTCCCTGGCCCTACCGTCTCCAACATTCGTTTAGCGCCGTTTGTAGATTTATCGAACGCTTTTAACACCATAGATCAGTCAAATATGCTTGCGAAGTTGTACCACGTTGAGATTAATATATATATTTATATATATTAGTAGAACGAAATATGTGAATATAAAACGAAGTATGGAGTGAGGAAGTACCGGCTGTTTGTGAGAAATCTGAACCCGAATTTTCGCACCGCAAGAACTAGACGTTGCGGGGAGCTCAAACTCCGTCAGAACGTAGCCCCAGCCGTTCGAGCAAGATGCCAAAGTTTCAGCACCAACTGTGTTATCTTATTCAGAAGTTATTAGTGATTTTCTGAAAATTTCAATGAGAAAATGGCGGCCGACTATGGCATCAGAAACCAAAAACGGGCGGAAATGGGCCCCATTTTCCCGTCGAAAATTTCAAAAAATCTCTGATAACTTTTGAATAAGATAACTGTTGCTGCTCAAACTTTGGCATCTTGCTCGAACGACCGGGGCTGTGTTCTGACAGAGTTTCAGCTCTCCGCGATGTCTAGTTTATTTTTGAGGTGCGAAAAGCCGGGTTCAGATTTCTCGCAAACACGTGGGTACATATAAATTATAGAATACCGCAAGAGTCTTCATTGGCCCCCTTGCTGTTTAATATTTTCGCAGACGACGTTTAAAACCTAAAATTTCAGTCAACGCTATTTCAGCATCCGGATGATACGGCTTTAATACTTCCCCATCAAAATATGAAGCTGCAGTGACAGTATTTTAAAGCGATATTAATAGATTATTTATTGCATTGGTTTACTGAAAATCCTATATTTGTGAATTCGAAGAAGAAAAAATTACTGTCATTTAAAAATCCCCACAAGCGTTTTTTTTTTTTTATTGAGTCGTTCTTTATTTCTATTTGGAAACAAAGTGGTGCAGGGTACTGAATTGAAATATGAGGCTAGCACAAAATATCTGGGACTAAGTTTCGATGAACTTGGGAATGTCACGTTGATTACATTAAAAAAAAAAAAAGAAATATTAAGAACTTTCTCATCATTCAATATGGTATTGGCACTTCAGCATGTGCTCATGTAAAGAAAAATATTTATTCAGCCTAAGGAAAGTCTTTACTGAGATATGGCATTTTGATTTATGGATCCAGCTCTAATACCAGATTACGATCCGTAGATAATTTAAAATATGGGATAGTAAACAATATTGCACATGGTACACTAGTTTAGCATTTATACCTCATCAAGGAACTTGAAGCATTTACTATAATGACGTTGAGTGTTTTATTTAAATAGCTGTAACAAAAAAATTACTTTTCCAGAACAGAACACAAACATCCGGTACAGAAAAGGCTCCTTCGAAATATAGACATATATTATTTGCCAATGATATATACGCCTTACGGAAAAATAATGATAAGTTTTTTTATGTCCCTTATATTTTCAATAAGATACCATAATAACTTATTAGTCCGGACTCTTTTAAAGAAGTTAAAAAAAAATTCAGAACATGGTGTTTGCAAAATTAAATGTAAACATTTTTATATACATTTATGTTATTTTTTATAAAATGACTTCACCTTATCTGTTTAGTCTAAATCTGTTGTACTGAGAGCAAGAATTGTTAGGGACCATGAAATGATTTTAAAATCGAATTTCATCCACCGCACGTCGTAAAAGGTGTGAAAAGAAACACAAAAACACAAAAATAGGGAGCCAAAAAAAATTATTTGCTACAGAACCTTTAAAAGAAAACTGGACTCTTTTGCGCCTTCTTTCCTTCGAAAGCTCGCTGCCTTTTCACTACGATGCCTCCGCGGAAACGGGGCACGTCAGCCGAATCCACGTCGCCTATTGGCCTCGAGATCGACCTAGAGGTGGCGCTACGGTCGCGCTATCATCATCATCAAAGCGGGATAGGAGAACGGCCGCCCCATAGGTTCTCCACGGTCGCGCGCGAGACGGCGTAGATTCTTGCGTTTATTTTGTCGCATACTATCGGTAAGAAAACAATTCTAACGGAAAAGGATGCAGTACTTTTCGGTGCTTCAGTGAAGATCGAATCGTGTCGCCAGCGTGCGGCCCAAATTTATATAATCGCTGTAAAGCATGGATCACCATGGCTGACGCCGGTCTCCGGCTGAACTGCAATATTTATGTTAAATATTTATTTCTTTTAAAATTAATGTATCGGTTCATCAACGTGGGAATTAAAAATAATGATAAATACCAACCCGAATAACATAATACTGTTACTGTGGGCTGTGAAATCGCAGCTTCTATGCTTTTTTTTTTTAACGTCTAGCTTTTGCAGTAATATAAATATTTAGAATGAAGATAAGTTAGCGCTGTATTGGAAATTACCATGCTATTGAGTTCCTCTGCCCTTTTACGGTGCCATAATGTGAGTAAGGTTTTTGGAGTCTGAACAAATCTACTGCGTTGCGATGAGGAGAGAGTGACTCTTCTAGTTAAAATCTGCAAACTGCACGGTTGGCAGGACAACTGAAACAAGTGAAACAAACTGTTCTAATATATCTGCCGTGGCTGTAGTAAATGAGTGTAACCAAGCAACGCAACAATGTTCCTACTATTAAATGTTTTTTTCGGTAGTGTGGGTTCACCCGCTTCAATTTTTTTGGTGAGGGCCGCGGATGTCAAGAGGCCAATACTATAAATTTCTGGCTAAATAACCTTGTATTCAAACACGGTAGACTTTGCAACCCAAAGAAACGACGCGCACCACGATACAGACAGCACCGGCCGCAGTGATACTCTTTTACTGATGAGGGCTGCCGACCTTCACGAGACTTTCCGATCACCCTCCGCCCTCCCCTAACGTATATCGGGACTGGGCAGTTCATCGATTAACTTTCAGATTATTCAAGTAGTGCTGTAATTATACTTTTTTTTTGCCGGTTAATTGGAGTCTTGTGCTGGAGAAAGTCAACGAGGAGTAAATTATATGCCTGCTTTAATATTTTGGACGTCTTTACTTGTTTTGTGACAGAGGCTTGCACGGTAAACCACTTCAGCGTGCTTGTCATTTCGCCGAGGGTGATTATTAGCGGCGAGATGTTTTGGTGGCGCCCTCCTACGGTTCCCCCTTGTGACGTCATTACCTTGCGAACAACAAGTTCGATGGTGTTTGTAAATAGCATGGTGGAAGCCTGAAATCATTGCGCTCTCAAAGCAACACTGCCAACACCGCCGAAATTAAAATTCTTTCATCCCTCTTATTTCTGTCAATGGTATACCCTTCCCGACGCCGTAGTCAGCTTTTGGGCCAATCGTAAAAGGCCGACCACAGCGACACTTTCGGTCACACACGTCGCCAATACGGTTTAAATAATAACTTAAGAAATACTTCATTTTAAAAGGCTTCCCGTGTTCATATTTATGTAGGACTCACAACGTGAAGTTTAGAATGGGAATGCATTATGCCATTTGTGACATAGTAAAACCAGTATAACAATATGTAGTTTTAACGTCTTTCACGCTATATTACCGGGGAAAAATCAACATATGGATTTATTGATGGATACGTCTATTGAAGGGGATAGCGATCAGTCGGGTTAATTTTCTAATCAAACCACAGACCCACTCAACATTCAATGCTTTATGAAAGCCACGGTTTGTGCGAAACAAAAATACGTGGCACCAGCGATTGTATAAAAAACAACATGGAAGCTTCCGACTTAATATTAATCGCTTTGCTGAATTTCTACGCATGGCAAACGATACAACACAACCTTTAGTAAGAAGAAACGGCAACAAAAACATAAAACATTTAGTAAGGAATGTCAAGCTCAGCCTGAAACGGGCTTGCGTCGTCGAGATCCATGCTTCTGAGCGTGCGCCCGTAGCAGACGACGCACGGCGGTATCCCCGCTTTCGCGCGTTTACAATTTCGGCCGCACGGTGGCGGCACGGTTCGCGCGCCGCCGCGCGGCCGTTACCGAAGGTAGGCAGTGAGAATGCCAGAGGAAACGAAACCGAAACCACGCCGCGTACGTTGGTATGCATTGAAGTCGGAGCAGTGCAGTTACGCTGGGTTCACAGTATGAAGTGCTGCCTGTGCTTTAAGAGGGGGCGCACCTCAGAGCCCCATAGAGAATACATGAGGTTTTTCACCAAATTAAAAAAATTCTCACATAATAACGGCTGCGCGGATCTTCTTGAAAATTTCGGCTTTAAAGACATTGAGTCATTATCGAGACACTAAACGCAACAGATGTTTCGTCATAAATTTAATTATATTCTTTAAAAAATCATGAAAATGGTCAAAATCGGCTAATTCGGCACTCTTGCGTTCGGAGCGAATTTACAAAATTATCTAAATTCAAACATAAGAAGAATTGCGCTTAATGTCTTCTAAATTTATTACGGAATCGAATAATATTCAAATTATTCATGTAAGTCGATTTGTTCCGTAACTACAGCAAATATAAAGAACCAAGGTGTCGGTGCTTGTTTTCGTCGTTTTTAAGGTACCTCTCTCTCCCGTGCGGTGGCGCTCGCTGTCCACGAAATGCGAAAACTAGACTTCGGTCTATTGTTTGGTTCAATAAAGTTTTCAACAACAACAACAACAACAATCGTCCGTTCGGAGATCGGCCGGATCGGCACTGTGCGAGGTGTTCTTCCGCGGCCGTATTCCGCGCCCGTATCCTGTTTCATTCTGCACGCCGAGGCGTCAGTGTGCGTGTCTTGCTTTCCTGGTTCTCGCTGGGTAGGTCTCCGTGTTTTCGCAAGTGGCAAATTCACCTTGGAGCTATGGGTCGAAGACAACCGTCCTGTGGCAAGCGGACCGCGAGGTGTTCCACAACCTCGCGGTCCGTCAACGCGTTGTGCTTGTTTCTACTTTTTTTTTTCTTTTAAAAACGGGTT